TTTTCAATTGCATATATATATAATTAATTTAATATTTTATTACTTTATTTTTCTTTTAATCATTTAAAAATTTCTCCATTCACCTTTAAAATTTACTTAACTCGAAGGTGTGTTTGCTTAATTGTTTTTATTGAATTACTTTAACAAGAATAAAATTAATTCCTCAGAATCGCCAGTCAAAATAATATTTTCGAAAATACGCTATTTTATTAGAAAAATTCCAGGATAAAATTCACTTACAGGACCGTCGCTAGAAGTGAGGCGGCGAGGCAATCGCCTTGGGTGACTTTTTTCTTGGGCGCTACTTTTATAGAAACGTCGCAGCAACAGCGCTCAGAAACTGAAGTTTGATCAAAGACTGCAGATAATATTCACAAATACGCCCACTCCAATCTAAAGTTCCTTTGTACACTCCGCCCGGAAGCGTAAATATGTTATGGCTATGGATCCTTTTAAGTTATTTAATTCGGTTTATTACGAAATCGAGTTTAGTGACGACCACATCTTATTGTGTGTTATCAATCGAAATTTATATTTGGTGAAATCGTATTTTTTATTATTTTTTTTCTTTTTTGCCTTTGGTAATATTTTAGAATGAGCGATTTAAAAAGCAAACAAATTTGTTAAATAATGAAATAATAAAGAAAAAAGATTAAGGCTAATTAAGACAACCTCTGGGTTATACACGGATTTTTTCCAGAAGATGTCGTTACAATTTAATGCTTTTTGGACTGCATTTTAAAATTGCAGACCTGTAAATTTTCTCTGACATGTGTCTGTCTGTCCGCCTGTCCTTCCTCAATATCGAGAAAGGAGTTAGATAGATGAACGTCGAGACCAGCTAGGGAAAACTCAGGAGCTAGGGATCCGATTAGCTATATAGAAACTTCCGGTTTGGATGAGAAGTTACGTTATTTCAATTCAAAACGTTTCTCCAGAACGGAATTAGATATAGCCTGTGACCAGCATGATTCTCTTGTTATCAGGAAAAGTATGATGTACAGGGGCAAGACACTACTAATTTGAAGGTGGAGAGCATATATTTTATATTAAATTAATTTAAAAATATGATTAAAATTGCAGCCCAGTATTATGACGGTGTCACAATAAAATAATTGCTCTNAATTTTATTTAATTATAAGTTTTGTGCATTTTATCCACAATTACGAGGTTCTGTATGGAATCTACATTGTATTTACTGCTGTTTGCTAACATTATTCTGTATTAATTTTTCTGTACGTAGTCCTGTGGAACTGATGTCATGCGAGTACTTAGTCTTATTTAGATGTAATATTACTTAATTTTATCTCATTGATTTCGTGGATTTTATCAATTATCTTGCAGTTCTGCATGGTATCTACAATATACTCTTGCTGCTTACATATATTAACATGTATTATCTTATCCTGTAATTTATGGACTTTGTCTTCTATATGCAGTTCTGCATGGAATCTACAATGTACTTACTGCTGTTCGCTTATGTTTTTTCTGTATTCATTTTCTTTCATTCGTAATTTTGTGGATTTGATGTCGCGCGAATACTTTGTTTTACTAAAGTATAGTATAATTTAATTTTATTTAATTATAATTTTATGGATTTTAGCCATTAACTTAAAGTTCTGCATGGAATCTACAATGTACATACTGTTGTTTGTTTACATTTCCTGTATTTTATTTCCTTGGTAGTGCTCATAGCGGAGCCAAGGTATGTATTTATGCCGCCGTAAATAAATTGAATTGATTCTATCGTAACCTTGTCCTTTTCCACGGTAGAAACTTTCTCCGCATTCTTAACACGTCTACATTCCTCCTCTTACGATTTTCGGATTTATTTGGCACTTACTTTCAAGACTGAAGGCACTGTACAATATCTGGCTCCTTCCAAACTAAAACACGTCTCGCTCTTGGATAAAGCTTACTCCTATGTTGAACAAACAGGTCAAACCTTTCTCTTAGTTTTTTTCACTTGCTCACAACAATCTCGTCGATTTCGACAACCTTTCCAGGTCCATCAAATTTTCATTCTGGAAAATTAGACTAGGCGCTAAGTCCTAGGGGGCGCCTCAGTGGTAAAGAAAATTAAAGGGTATAAATTAGGGGCAACCAAGGGGGCGCCATAATAGGATCTTGCTCGATCTTAAAACTTGCCTCGGGCCGGCACTGATTATATCATAACAGATAGCGTTACATTCATTATTAAATGTTACCGGGAAAGTTAAGCAACTTGTTGCTGGATTTTTTTATTGGAAACTTTGTAACGCACCGTTTACGAAAAGCAAACAAAACGGGGTTACACAATATTAGGGTTCAAGTACCAGGTCTGGACTTTCCAAATTAAAAACAATAATTTGCAAAACCACATATAAACAATTCACAATAATTATAAGTTTTATTATATTGAAATGAAAACAATAATGGGTTAATTGTCCCAACAAGTTAGTTGAATAATTGAAAGAACTAACAAAAATCAATAATCCAAAATATCGTACTGATACTAGCAAATCAAAACAAACTTTCTATCTCCACCTCAAAAGGATACTACAGCAAAATATACTGCTTCCGCTAAGTGATCACGGACGTCTCAACAACCGTCGTCCTTAGAAGCTGTCTCTCTCGGCTGTGTTCGATGTGCCGCCTTTTATTCCAAGTCTAGTGCAGCTCCGCACTGTCTTAATTTACATAAGGTGGCGTTACATGATCAGGCACTGATGCAAACTAAGTTTGCTTTTTTTCTTTCGTTGTCACTTATGCTTAGGAGTTTGTCCTTAACTAAAAAGAACCCCGAAAAGAAAATAATTAAATAAAAATAACGCCCCAAAACAAAATAACGATCGGACATTGACTCCTTTACAACTTAAGGCTCCAAACAGAGGATTCCCCGAGCCTCCCGAACAGTGGGCTGCCATTTTAACCGCTCGGCCATCCTTACACCTAGGTGGGGTTATGAAAACATTGAAAGTACTGTAGAATACTGGTTTAGTTTTATTGATATACGTTAACGTGACACATGAGCAATCTGCCGAGGGGGAAATGTCTCCCGGGAGGTTTCTTATGGGAAACTGGTTCCTATTTAGGTATTACTAATGTAAAAAAACCCCATAAAACTCAGTTTGGCCAGCCCATTAGCAAGAGACGACACACGAGTGGATAAAACCACTGAACCTGAATCAGTATTCAGTGATTTTATTCACTTGGCCGCTGGCGATATCGTACTGAATCCTGCTAAAGCTTAATACTAGTGTTGCAATGAATAGTATATTCGGCCTTTATGGCAAGGATCCTGCTCTCTATTGGCCCGCTGTCACTACGTTTCGCCAATCGCGTTAATTCTTGGCAGTTGTAGCGACAACAGTGTCATGTGATAAATGATGATATCAAATGTGGATAACAATGAAATGACCTACACGTGTAAATAACGGAAAAAGAACAGAGAAGGACCGCGAAGTGAAAATGTGAAAATAAATATGAAATTGAGTCGATGACATAATCAAACGAGTCGAAGCAGCTTATCGGCGCGAAATTCGCGGCCGCCAATGCCAAACAATTGTTGTCATAGACTTCGGAAAGCTAAATGTTTGTAATGAAAGTCACTTAGCGTGCACGGGCGAAAGCCTGGGGCCGTTCGGGCTACCAAGCTGTCTGGAATCTGTGAAACCGACGTCCTGTGTGTCTCTCTTCTCCGTTATCACCAGGCTGAGTCATGTAATTGTAAAATGGGAACTCTACGACGGAAAAGTGACGAATCGAAAGTATCGTGAACGCGTATTATGATGTATACATAGGCATACGTGGATTAGAGCGATAGAGGAAAGAGAAAGGGAAGAGCAAAGACGAGCGCTTAAAAGGGATAGGCAGGGTCAGACCCTCAGATGTGCGAGGATTCTCCAACGATAGGCGTGTACGTGTGCTGATCTTTATAATTATAAATTGTGAATACATGTGACTAATATTATTTTCTTTTTTATTTTGTGCATGTTACAAATAATAAATAAACATAAACAAACAACACTAACTCGATAACATTAAATCTAAATACCAAAATGATTAATTTACTGTTTTTGTTATTTATTACTCCTGTTTTTAGGTATTCGGTATTCGGTCGAATAGTGAAAAATAGGCCGAATAGGCCGAATACCGAATAGTAACCGAATATTCGTTACATCACTACTTAATACAGATTATGAAAGTAAACAAACATTAAATTAATAAAATTAATTCACATAATACTGTATCGTTTGTAATATACATTAATTCAAACTTTCATACAGGATAATGTATTATTTAAGTTTTTTTTTTAAGTTCATAGCAAAGAGCATAGCAGATGCTTTTTGCAGCTCCCTCAGAAATTCTATTATTAACACTGATAATACAATACTGAAATACAGAGTACAAAATACAGTGAATGCAAACTGTTTTTAGTAGGTTTCATTTAAGTACAGTACTAAACAGAATTGTTAGACGGAATTAATGTTTGTGAAATAGTAGTAGATTTAAAACTGTATTTTAACAAGAAAATTCATTTTAAAAAATTATTAAACAGAAGTTGCTATATATGCAAAAGTGTTCAAGTGTGGAAAAAAATATTAATAATTAAATTGGCTTTTACAATAAGGTCATCGACATTTTTCTTTACTGAGTGTTGCAAATGATGTATCAGTAACAAAAACAGATCATCGCTGATTTACATATACTTTACAAAATGTAATCAGATTTTGTATAAAATTATTGAACAGATATATAATTGTCTTTTTTCTTACTAAATTCTAGAAATAAGCTTAATTTGTTCAGTAGACTAAATAAAGATTATTCTGTTTAAATGTTCTGTGGGAGGAAACACGGCAAACTGTTCAAAAATTATAGCAACAAAGCTCAATTCTTTTTAAATTGTTTTAAACGAGTTTATAAACATTGGATTTTCCTATTCTGTTGGCCGCATAAACGTGGAGATAAATACCAGTTTAGGACACTCCTATCTTGGCCAAAGATCCTATCCACCAAGATGGAGTTTGATTTATAATAAAACTTAATGCAGTTTTCAAGAGAATTTCAGCGGTGGCTACATAACTGGCGTAGAAGCAAAGCTAGCTTTTACTATAGTTTATTGTATCAATAATATTTCGAACTAAAATTGACAAACGTAAATAGATTCTCTGAGAAATTTTCCACTAGAAATAATTTATCATAAATAATTTTTATAACAATATAACAAAATCTTTTTATACAGTTATAATTATACCGATATTAGCAGTACCAGCTCTAGCATTATCACTCTAGAACAGCGGTCTGCAACCTTTCTGACCACTAAACTCACAATATTAAATCCCGCGGACCACTATCATGAAA